CTTCTGACTTGGACGTAACTCTCATTTTCTTGTCTGCTTGGTAACAAAATTGAACGGGTTTCTGCTTAGCTACATATTTTAGATCTCACGCTTGATGTCTCATTCATGATTATGAAGTCATGCCCTTTCAGGACTGGACCCACAAATGTGTTTGGTGGAAGTGGCTAATCTTCACTCTGTTGGACTGTGAATTATTCTGATGTTATGAAGGTGGATCATGTGCTCACGTTGTGGGGACCTGCTTCATCCAACCCAGCGACTCCAACTGTGCCGCAAAACAAATAAGGCAACACTGGATCCTGTTGGACCAGTTCCTCCACACTTTTTATGTTTCCTTTTGCTGCAGGCAATCAGCAGTCACCTCCCCATAAGAAGTGGAATTGCTGTGTGTAACCTGAATTGCACTGAATTCCTTAAGTCTGTCTGATGCTAAACCAGTTTCATTCTCACAGTCAGACGACGTCATGGTGCCACTGACATTGGTCCTTTCTGTCCCATAAACTCAATCCAGCAGCCTCTGTGCTGAGTGTCTGTCTCCGTACTTGCTGAAAAGACTGAATCACCGCATTGCTGAAGTTTACACCTTGTCCTTTTTCCTGTGCATGCAAGATTACTCAGAAGGAATTAAGGTCAAGTAAGGAAATGAGGATAATAAAGCCCAAGTCTACCCATAGGAATTTATTTTGTGTTTCCTCCAAGGCTTGCCCATTATAACCCAATCTTACAGTTGCATGGGTTAAGGAGAAGAGAGATCTCTCTCATTCAAATATATTTTATTTAAAACTCTTCTAGTAATATGATGAAATTTTGACAGTGCAAATAAAACGGAAGCTAATTGAGAGACAGAGAGGCCCTCTGAGCCGGAGGACTGTTTTGCCTCTTCCTGGTTTATGAAACAACCTGTTTTATTGGGCTTAGACTGTGGAACATCCTTGAGTTTATCTTCTGGACGTTTGTTCAGCACAATTAACTCAAGGAGGAGCCACATATCATTTCCCAGTTTCTGTTCTAGGGGAGATCTAGAGGCTGTCTCCATAGAGACTAAACCATCAGAGCCCTGTATTTGGTTTCTTTGGTCAGTGAGCCCCTATAGAAGCCATTCACAGAGCAGTCCACAAGCTTTTTTGGGGGGCCACGTTGAGTCGCAGGCTGTTTACCGGCTGTCAGGAGTTCCTGGCTGGATCACAGAAGGCAGAAAGCGGCAGGGGGTTCTGGGAACATGGTGCTCAGAGCACGGCTCCTTTATTTCCACTACCAACCCTGTCCATCTGCTTCCCCCCAGTCAAGTAGCGGCTGGGGCCTACACATGGCTGGGCGGGAGGGAGGTTCTCATGGTCTTACGAGTGTCCCAGTGGAGAAAACTGGTGTGATGCCTTGTTGCCTGAGGGCTGGACCAGCTCCTGAGGCTGGGACAACTTGGCCTGCTGAGATTCCCGACCTCCTTCATCCCCAAGTTCTGCATATGAAAACTAAAGTGACTTCTAAGGCAAAGGTTTTCTCCTATACTAATGATGTTTCTAGAGAGTCAGCTTTCCCTCAAGAAGAAAGGTTTTTCATGATTTGTAACTGAAGGGGGAGAGGGTGGCTCAGGTAGTCAACTCTTTCAAAAAGCTTTTTGTTTTGTTTTTTTTGCAACCAATCAAAGCTTTCAGTTGGGAAAAATATGTTGCTTATTGTTATAAATAAAATTTAAGACCCTCTGTGACCTGAGCTTACCTCTTAGAGGCGTCCTGTACACTACAGCCAGGGGTGCTGGAACGTTCGGTCTACACAAACACAGCTTCATGGGGAAAATTGCGGTTTGTTCTAACTCTGCTGGGAGGTGTTGTTTCTGCGCACAGCTGACTCCACCAAGCCCTTCTTAGAAATGCCTACATTCCATGGATTGAGTAGTTTGGGGTGTTGGGGGGCTTGGATTTTGGCCCTCATTCTGGCTGTAAGTAACCCTGTGATTTTGGGAACTGCATAATATTTCTGTTTCTTCATTTGTGTAATGGCGGAAAAGAGGGCGCGTGAGACACAGGTAAGAGAGAGGCCTTTTGTACCCTAGACAATTCATTTCCATAGAAACAACTGAGAGAGTTGTTCTCAAACATGAGCTCAAATCAAAACAGGGAAAACAGATGAAGTCATGGTGATGTGGTCAATACATGAAACGAAGGTCTAGTTCCACAGGGGCTAGAAGGAAATTCACTGAGGGTTTATAAATGCAAATTTTAATGTCATGCAACGCTACCAAATATTTATATAATGCTTTCTCCCTCTCTCTCTGCTTCTTCAATTTGCTGAGAGTTTGTAAATGTAAATTTAATGTAATGCAATGCTACCAAGTATTTTTATAATGCTTTCTTCTCCTTCTGCTTTTAAATATTTGAACAGAGGGGAGATTTCATTATACTGACTTGAACTTCTATCTTGTTCAATAAAATGATTGAAGGATAAGACAGTTTCTCCTACCTTTTGTTCAGGCGCCAAATCAGTTATATAGGAGATGGTTTTGTGGGGAGATTTCTTCTAAAAAATAGACTTCAATTTTAAGAAATATGACAAAGCAAAATGAACCTAAGTGCTGACCTTTTTTAAACCTCAAAACTTTTTTTTTTTTTTTTTTTACTGTGGAAGATTAGCCCTGAGCTAACATCTGTGCCCATCTTCCTCTACTTTATATGTGGGTCACCGCCACAGCGTGGCTGACGAGTGGTATAGGTCTGCACCAGGGATCCGAACCCGAGAACCTAGGCCACCAAAGTGAAATGCACCACTGAACTGAACCACTACACCATGGGGCTGGCCCTCAAAACTTTCTTTTTAATCTCAAAACTAAATGGGGATATTTTTGCCATTACATATACTTAACTTCAATAAACTGAAAATTGAACTCCAACAAGCATAATTAAACCACACTATTTTATTGCAAATGAAAAATATACAGAAACATTAATTTAAAATTTGTAAACTTTCTAAAACAAACAGTATTTATAAACATTTGAAAAATAGAAAATTTCACGACCATAGAGTTTATTCAAAATATTTGAGAACAGTTCACGTATATTCACATAAATTACTTTTCCACAAAGTTTTGTTGGAATGTGAAGATTGCATTTAGTTCAGTTTAACTGGTTTTATTAAGAAAAAGAAAACATTTTTGCCAGAATCATTTTGTGCTGATGCTGAGATAGTATAATGCTGGAATTCATTTTCACTTGGATTATTTAAAATGAGCTAATGGAACACAAATTGAGAAAAGATGAGGAATGTATGAAAAGTGGCGACCAATGGTCCTCACCTATCCAGTAATAACTCCATAGGAATTAACATATTGATTCAAAGAGAACTAAATTTTATTAAATGCCTATTATATATCAGGCATGACACATGGTATTTGATTTAGTACTCTTAAAACATAGGTGTTAATTTAATTTCATGCTGCTAAATCTAAAGGGTTTTACAAGCATTCTGCAATCTGAACTAAAAATAAAAATCATTAACCATTGGCCTAAGAATAAAATTATAAGTCAAAAAAATAAAATGAAGCTATTATGTTTACATAATTAGGAAGAGTTTTCAACTTGGCTGTGTGGGCACAACTTTGTAATCCTTAATGACATATGTGCAGATATTCACATAATAAATCTTAAGAAGATATCTATATGTATAAAGTAAAGTATAAATATTAAAATATATACATATATGAAACTACCAGTTAAGACTAACGTAGTTAATCTGAATATCGGGATCCAGCATTTTATACTTCCTTAAACAGTATCTTCCCATTTGGAAAAATTAATTCTTAGTTTTAGATTTGCAATAACATTTTGGTTTTTCAGTGCATATGCCCACCAGGGATTTTCAGAATTTTTCAAATATTTCATTGTTTCTCAACATGTTTCAACTCATTGAATCTTTCTCAGTCCTTCTCTCGGGCATATACGTCAACACTAGTTCATTTTTCAATCCAGGGTACACACTGGTTTTTGGGTTCCAAGAGCCTTCAACCTGGGTGCAATATACCAAGGGCAAAGCTTTGTAACAGGTGACATTTAAGAAATATCTGACACTAAAATTCACCAGTGTGGAGAACAACCACAGCCTCAGGTTGGATGCCATTAATTTCCTCACCAAGATGGTCCAGAGAAACCAACAGAGTTCTCAATAGAAAAAAGAAAAACTTTAAAAGAATTTCTACAATTTTCAAACACTACCTTTTCAGAAAATACTTTTCCTACAAACTTGTGTTCATAGCTTATATATCTGATATACAATTAAAGCGAAATAGCAATCAAAAGAGTAAACACATATTTGACCTGAGGTATCAACCCATGTATCTTCCATGGATTATCAATTTTCAAAAATTTAGAATGCACTGAATTGCACTTAACACTAAACTATTCTGAAGAAACTATAATGCAGTCACCTCAGGTCGTCACTGTGAACATCAATCATAGTTCAATAGAACTGGAAAGATGCCGAGGTCAGTTTGATAGAATTCTGAATAACAGAATTTACAATTATTATTACCCTGGATAGATTTGAACTAGATTACAAACAAACAAACAAAACTAATAACATTTGATGTTAGAGCAGAAAAATCCACTCACCCTGAAGGGTTTTTGTTGGTTTTTTTTTAAATGACACAACTTTTTGGTTAGGATTTTTGTTTTGTTTTGAGAGACGTAAGATTAGTCTAGAAATAAGGTTAATTTCTTTTCCATTAAATCAATGAGTGATGAGAAATCTGTCCATAAACATTAAAGACCACTAAAAATATTATTCCTGCCATGCCCTTGGAGGGAGACAGAAAAACTTTATGTAAGTTTTAATATGCAAAATGTATTTTCCTGTAGTAGTCCCTGAGGTCTGAATATTTTGTTTTCTAGGAAGTTAACTTCCCTTCCTATTCTCCCAAAACACCTAAAAAAATGTATGGAAAACATGGTCGGGATGAAATTCAACAGAAAAAGACAATCTACCACTTATTGTGGTAGGATGTATACATTTAAAAAAAGGTTAGTAGCTAATTATAATTTCCTTAATAAGGGTGAAAGTGTCAAATTTCAAGAGAACAATTATGATAACTCATTTAGGTTTTTCACAAAGATTTTTCTAGCTGTTTTCAAACAGTCTGTGGAAAACCCACCCTTTGAGGATCAAACATTTCAGAAAAGTTGAAGTGTACAATATAATCCTAAAATAATATAGCAATTACTTTACAAAAGTCTATATGTCAACAACAACAAAAAATGACCTTTGGTATAATAGTGAAAGAAAGGAACAAAAGGAAGATAAATAACTCCAAGAGTGAATTTGCTTGGACTTCTCCAGAAACTCAATTTTGTCTTATGTTGTCCAGGTCTGAGTTAAAAGAACAAGTGAAGACAAGTATTTGTGTTTGTTTTTGTTTTCGTGGAAAGAAAAAAAAAAAAAACGTGTTTCATTTACCTAAAGGATAAAATATTTTTCTCCCTCCTCCATTCTCCCCTTTTTAATTAGTAATAATATTCTATGATATATCAATAAATTAACAATTCATAAGCCTTTCATTGGTATGTGTGTCTTGTGCATTCTAGCTCACCAAGGGACAGATTCCAAAGCAGGCCTATTTTTCTCTTTAACCCTCTACCCTTTCGCTGTCCGGCTTAGAAAGAAGGAAGTTGTGGGAGGGGAGGAAAAGCAGAAGTGATTCACGTCTCAGTTTTAATAATTTGGAACCAGGACTCATCAGAGAATGATGACTGATACGCTGCTTATCAGCACACAGTGAAGTTCATCTAGGAGTTACTGCGAGGCTAAGAACAGCAGCGAAAGAAACTAAGAGCCACCCGGCAGGGCCAAATATATTATGACCAGAAGAAAGAGATGATTCTGAGACTCATCTAACTCTTTGATTTCTTTTATGCATAGGGAATATTTCAAGTTTGCAGAAATGAACAACAGCAGGAGTCTTCTGGGGGAGGATCAAAACCTTGATTTTCAAATTTGATAGCCAAAAATGAAGGCATTTTTATTTGGCCTCACATCTAAATACTAGTTAGAACTTTAAAAATGCCAGCTTTGAGCCAGCCCTGATGGTCTAGTGGTTAAAGTTCAGAGCTCTCACTGCTTCGGCGGCCTGGGTTCGTCTCCTGGTCGTGGAACCACACCACCCGTCTGTCAGTTGCCATGCTGTGGCAGCTGCTCACACAGAAGAACTAGAATGACTTAACAACTAGATATACAACCATGTACTGGGTCTTTGGGGAGGAAAAAAAAAAAAAAGAGGAAGATTGGCAACAGATGTTAGCTCAGGGCGAATCTTTCCCTGAAAAAAAAAAAAACCAAGCAACTGCTTCACACACACAAAAAAGTCAGCTTTCCTAATAGTTCTTCCAAGAATCAGGTATTCCTTCTCCTCTCCAAGTGTTTCAGATTGATTACAGTTCGGGGTTTCTAGATACTTTAATCATTAGTCCTGGTAAACAAGGTAATGTCATCATTGTATTCTGAGGTTGAACATTCTATGTTCTCTAATAAGGCGTATTTGTCTTCACGGCCATTCAGAGAGAAGACTTCTTTCTTAGTGGATGTCAGCTCACTCCAGGTGATGTCAGTGTTTTTAAAAGCATGTAGAAGGAAGATGCCAGTGATAATGGTGAAGAACCCACTCAAGGTCCCGATGACATCTCCAGCTTTCATGCCATACCATTCTTGGAATAAGATGGCGGAGCAAGTCACTACCATGGATGTGAAGAACACATAATAAATGGGAGTCACAAGAGACGTATTAAAGGTGTCCAATGCTTTGTTGAGATAGTTAATCTGTGTTGTCACTGAAAGCACAAGTACAGCCAGCAAAACAAAGACCAGGGGATGTTTGTAAACTGGCTTCCATTCCAATAGTTCCTTAATGGCAATTCCCAGGCCCTTGACGGAAGAAACTGAAAATGCTCCAATTAATGAACAGATTGAAATGTAGACCAATATATTGGTCTGTCCTTTCTTGGGAGCCACGATCAAAATCAGCACCAAGGCTATCACAGTTACAATCACAGCAAAGGAAATAAATCCTGTTAGGAGGAGAAAAGAATTAGACTTCAGAAAATGCTTATAGGATCATGCCTTTGTGAAATCCTGTTAGTCATGAGTTTAAGAGCATAGGTGTTTTAGAAAGAGAAGTGAGATTAAATTAAACAACAACAACAATAACATTTTACTGCATGGCTCTTAATATGTTACAATGAACTTTCACAAACATATCATTTGAATCTCACAGATAACACTATAAAGTATGGCAGGTATTGTCTGACTGACTTTTTATTTTCAGAGGGAGAAACTAGCCAAAGTTTGGGTTGCAGTATAAGTCCTTTGCCTCTCCTATCCCCATCTCTTCATTTTATTTTGTAAAGGGGAAGCACAAACCAAAAAATAAGTTGTGTTACTTTTTCAGAAGACTTATCGTACTCAGTCAAACCTTACTATATCTCACAAACCACGACTAGGCTTGTAGGAAGCCTATTAAATATTATTACAAATATTATTTGATGAGGAGAGAAAGTGGAACAGAATATGAGTGTTTCTTTCCATTGAATCACAGACCTGGGTCTCTCAGTTTCATTTCCATTTCATGCAAAGATGCGACTTCCTCTTCTTTCGGAGCATGGATAACCATCACAGTTGATCCCAATATACTTAATATGCAGCCTATTTTCCCATGAATGTTCAAGTGCTCATTTAAAAAATAGGAAGACAATATTGCACTGTTGGGAGAAGAAAAAAAAAATCACTCTTGTTCAATTACCTTTTGATTCCATAGCAGCTCAGAAGTCACACTGTGGAACGTGCCACTGTATCCCCATTAACTGATTTGAATGTGCTACGTGACACTGAAAAACCTGGTTAATTTTAAAACTCAGAGATGATGGTCAATCAAATTTGCTTCATTGCTTTTATATCTAAAGAGTTATCATAGACATTCTACACCCCTGTAATCTTCCCATGACCTTCCAAGAGGTCCCACTCAATTCTTTTTCGATTTCTCCATCTTTTCCTGTGAAGCCAAACAAAATGGAAGATCTTTTACATCTTACAGTCATGACACATTAAGAATATGTATGCTCATGAATGCTTCAAGAAAGATACATGCCTAAAGAATTACTCTGCTCAGGGCTGATATTTAGCTAGTACTGTTGGCCCACAGTATCCACGGGTTCCGCAGCTGCGGATTCAACCAAGCGCAGATCACATACTAGGTTTACAATCTGCAGTTGGTTGAATCTGTGGATGCAGAACCCGTGGATACAGAGGGCCTACTAAGGGACTTGAACATCTGCAGATTTTGGTATGCCTGGGTGATTCTGGAACCAATCCGCCATGGATATAGAGGGACGACTATACACACAAGTACAACCATATGGGTTGTCAAAATATTGAAATATTTCCTTACCAGCTGCTACTGCCTTGATACTCTCATCATCTAATGCTCCCATTGCTTTAGTTGCCATGGCCTCAGGAAGTTTCAAATTGGCACCACCATGGACACCAGAATATGTCATCCCGCTGCCCCATCTGTAGGTCTGCTGCAGCTCCTGCACACCAGCCTCCTTCCCCTGAAACCCTGGCACTCCCACCACAGCATTATCAGTACCCATTTGCCCCCACAACTGTGGTCAATTACAAGGTGCTTTCCTAGAGTCCCCCTCGGGTGGCCACTTGTGAGGACTGTAGCCTCAGTGACAAGACCACTACTACTAATAGCTATCATTCATTGCTTTACATATATTTATGTGTATTAACTCATTTAATTCTCACAACAATCCTACAAAGAAGAGGAAAAGAAGGGGGTAGGCCTAGTCATAAGCTTTCCACTAGAGGTTGATGATGAATGAGCTTGATGATGAATGGAGATAAGGGGAAAAGAAAAAGACAACAAACAAAACAGTTGCTTAGCTACAAAATAAAAGACTTCATGGGCTCATTGAACACATTCATCTGGGATCATAAAAAGACCAATTCAGAAAAATTAGATCCACATTCTATGAACAGGAAAATTATTTCTGTTTCCAAGTACTAAAAGAAACTAAGAGGTCTCCAAACACAAGTACCTAGCAGATAGTACAAGACTTTTAGTGAAAGTTGAAATTTAACCCAAACTCTAGGCTTTTTACAGATTATTGACTATAGTCCCTATGCTGTTTATTACATCCCTGTGACTTATTTATTTTACAACTGCAAGTTTGTACCTCTTAATCCCCTTCACCTATTTTACCCAACCCTCCAACCCCCTCCCCTCTGGCAACCACCAGTTTGTTCTCTGTATCTATGAGACTGTTTCTGTTTCGTTTGGTTTGTTTGTTTTGTTTTTCAGATTCCACATATAAGTGAAACTCAGATGGTTACTAGACTTATGGTGGTAGCGTATATAAGTGTCAAATCACTATGTTGTACATCTGAAACTAACATAATATTGTATGTCAACTACACTTCAATAAAAAACAAGAAAAACAACAGAAAAAAGCTATGCTTTTTAAAGTCCTCTAATAACTATGGTCATTAACCACGACGACAACAGAAAAGATTAAAAGGGCTTGGCAATTTGTTTATGTGAGAAAAAAAAAATCTGCTAGGCTTTGTTGAATCGTCACAAATATAACATGCCATTACTTTATGTTAGCAGGAAACCAACTCACACTCTCATAGGTTTTCTAAATAAGACAATCTATTGAATTCCTATTTCCACCGATATTTATTAGTTTTGAGACTTTTTATTTATTTATTTATTCTTTTGTGAGGAAGATCAGCCCTGAGCTAACATCTGTTGCCAATCCTCCTCTTTTTGCTGAGGAAGACTGGCCCTGGGCTAACATCCGTGCCCATCTTCCTCCACTTTATATGGGACGCCGCCACAGCGTGGCCTGCCAAGTGGTGTGTCGGTGCGCGCCCGGGATCTGAACCGGCGAACCCCGAGCCGCTGCAGCAGACCACACACACTTAACCGCTTGTGCACTTAACCACTTGCGCCACTGGGCCGGCCCTGAAACTTTTTATTTTGTTTTGAGATATGCTTAGCAATATATTTTTTGACTTAAGTTCATCACAGTATTGAAATCCCTAGAGAAGCCAAGCTCCTTACTGCTCACGTACCTTATGAGAACACTCAGAGCGCCCAGTGGGGTGACCAAGGTGGCAGGTGCAAAAGCATAAGCTGCAAAATTTGTAGCTTCTCCCACTCCCACTGGAAAGCAACCAGCAGTATTAATATTAAAAAAATGGACTTATTTATCAGACGAGAAAAACAAATGATACACGCAAAGTAGTAGACTTCTATCCCAAAGACACTGATAGATCTAGTGAGAAGGAATGAGTTAACTTTTTTTTTTTTGCAGGGAAGGATTCGCCCTGAGCTAACATCTGTTGCCAATCTTCCTCTTTTTTTTCTTCCTCCCCAAAGCCCCAGTACCTGGTTGTATATCCTAGTTGTAAGTCCTTCTAGCTTTTCTATGTGAGCCGCCGCCACAGCATGGCTACTGACAGACGGGTGGTGTGGTTCTGTGACTGGGAAACGAACCTGGCCACCGAAGTGGCGAGGGCACCTAATTTTAACCACTAGACCATCAGGGCTGGCTACGATTTAACTTATTTTATGGAGTGTGGGAGAGGAGCGGTATTAAGGGATGTAGATAAACTGTAATTACCTGGTGATACAAACTCAACTAATGCAAAAAGTAGTGACAGGTGAATACCCATTTTCAACGACTTTCAATAGAGATTTTAGCTACTTCAGTACCAAAAACATATTTAGTTACTCTGATGAAGTCTAGTAGACATAGCTTTGGAGTAAGCAGAGAATTATTCTGTTTAAGAATACCTACTGTTAGGCAAATTAACAAAGAAACAACTTGTGAAGTTAGAATGTTTTGTAGAGATCTAGCATCTAGGCAGCGGATGGCCAGAAATGCCGAGGCCCATGTGGCCAAGCATCGCTGAATTGCCAACGATCTACAAGCATGTAATAGTTATCTTAGTAGCAAGGAGATCCAAGTAGCCGTTTTAAAGTCATAACAATGTGCTGCTGCAATCTTTTTCTTATCTGAGGAACTCTAGACTTCCATGAGATACTGTGATGCAAATAACTTCTAGAGTGAGGGAAAATCCCTCTAAGAGCTGGGCTCTTGTATTGGGGCCAAATTATTCTCACGGGTCACAACGGAATGCTTGCCCACAGAACGTAGTATTTCATGCTGGCAAACTACGCCAAACAAACAGTTATTGTAGAAAGAGCTTCTGGAACAGACAAAAGACACCAGTACACTCTTTCTTTTTCCCTCTGGCTGTTATGTTCTACTTCCCCCCAACCCCAAATCTACAGGAGTACTCACCTTTAGGAAAACCTCATAAAACAAACTGAAACTTACAGAACAATTAGGAGATTGCTCTCATAAGAAGAGCCATGGCAGTTTTCTTAGAATATTAAGGTTTCCTTAGATAATACTTCATATTATTTATAGTTTTATCTTTATTGACATCTTTCCAGGAAAATATTAATTTGATGATTAAAGTACTGTATGTTTGTCAATAGATAAAATCTCTAATGTTGAAGATTTATGCTTTTCTCTCTTCAACACTGGCATAAACTTTGTACATGACGAGAATAACACTGTGTATGTAGCCATATAATATTCTCCCTATATTTTCATTCTATTGTGTAACTGGAGGGTGAGGAGATGCAAGTGAGAGAGAGAGAAAAGGAGAAAGAATCCTCCAAATATCTCTCTGGAATCTTCCCAGAACAGTCCTTGTCAACTTTTATTCAAATGAAGTAAGAAAAGAGATGTGAAAACACGGTAAAAACTGAAAGGGCTATACAAATTTAAATTATTTTTATTTGTCATCCTTTTAGATTCCACCATTTGTTAAAGAAAAGTTATCCAATTCTTTCTTTTCACAGGATCTCACAAATACTGAAATGTACTACTTTATATGGGAAAATAAATGGAAGTTTTAAGGCTTCTGGTTGCAGAAGGAGATGACTAGCTTCATACAGTTTAGGAGGTCCTTTCTTTGGAAGTTTTAGGTTTGGGATTTAATCAAGTTCAGAGAAGTTAGGAGGGAGATAGAAATCTGAAAAAGCGCCTGAGGGAGATAACCCTGCCTTCTATGTGGACATGACATTAGCATTTAAAAAGTGCTTTCCTGTCCTACAGAGTCTCATTTAATCCTCAGGGCAGTCTGCAAGGAAGGAGAGTGCCGACAACCTTCATCTTCTCTCCATTTGTTCAGTGCTAAACAGGCAGAGGGGAGTTTAATTTATCCATGTTTTGGTCCTGGCCAGGAAAGTGAACCCATTCCTTAGAAAACATGCAGCTAAAATAGTCACAAATTCGAATCAGGAGCTGGTAAAATGTGGGAGGAAAGCATTTTCCTCCATTGTTATGGGGAATAAAATATGAGAGGGAAAAGTTTGTGATAAAATATAAGCTTTCAGGAGCCAGCCTGGTGGCGTAGTGGTTAAGTTCACACACTGTGCTTCGGCAGCCTGGGGTTCGCAGGTTCTGATCCCAGGCGTGGACATATGCACGGCTTATCAAGCCATGCTGTGGCAGGCATCCCACGTATAAAGTAGAGGAAGATGGGCATGGATGTTAGCCCAGGGCCAATCTTCCTCAGCAAAAAGAGGAGGATTGCCAACAGATGTTAGCTCAGGGCTAATCTTCCTCACCAAAAAAAAAAAAAAATATATATATATATATATATATATATACACGTGTATATATAAGATTTCAAATGTTAACTTTTTTCCTTGCATTCCAAGACAGAATTAACATAGGGGTGGGGGGAGGGAAGAGTAAAAATCAATTCTAAATACATACGATTTATTTGATATATAAGACAATATATTATACCTGCACAAAAATTTCTAGATTTATATGCCATCCTTACCAGAAAGATAATCAATTTTGAACAATTCCATATAATATATTTATCCTTTTATAAGCAAACACTATTCTCAGTATTAAAGACTTACTTGAGAGTAATCCTGCCCACCAGAGCCATTCCTTGAGGTAAGAATGCCCACCTTGTCCTAGGAAAATAATAAAAATAAAAATTGAGCGCTAAAGTAGAGGAGGAAAGTTTGAAGAACTGACTTCTAGGAAAGGTACTGGAATGTGGTTGGAGAGGCAAGAATTAAGGCCAAGTTAGTATATCTAGTCTTTTAGCTTATTTACTTGATCATTTCCAAAGATCTTCTAGCACTTTCTATCATGTCATCTTTGCTTTCTACAGAAAGTAACTTTTTCCATTTGCAGGAAAATTTTATTTAATCATCAGATTTACTATTTTTATGCCATTCAGAGTTGTGAATAGAGTACCATAGGCCCTAAACACTTTTTTTCAGTCACAGTTAATATTCAAGACAGCAAACCAGAAATCATAAATTACATTGGTACCTAACGAGGACCTTAAAGAGAAGAAGATGATTGACATAAGAGCTTTTGAGATTTTGGATAGTCAACCAGAGACTAACGAGCATTCGCCAGCTGGACTCTACCTATTCTCTACCTTGGCATCATGAAACCGAATTTGTGTCTGGTCTACTGAAAGGGACAAAAAGCTTTCCTATGGTATTCAAAAACTTATCCTCCCCCTACTGTAATCTGTGACCTTAGTCATTGTTATGTTTGCTATAGAAAATGGAATTTTCTCATCAATTTTAATATACTTAACCTTGGGAATTTGACCTACCTGATTTTGTTATAGTTAAACTAATCAGGATATATTAGCTGTGAAGATTATCTTGCAAGGTAGTTAACTATGTTTATTCAGGATTTTCTCCTTACAAAATTTGCAAATGACTAAATTGGAATCATATTACAATATGATTTCATAATGTCTGTAAAAATCTTAATAATATATCACAAATATTTTCTCATGTCCTTAATTAATGGTTGAATATTCCAAAATCTGGCATATCATTATTTACTTAACCTATATGAGACTATATATATATATACTGTTTCTAGTTTTGTTCTCATTATATAAGACCCTTAAATAAATATCCTGGTACATAAATCTAATTGGCATGCTTGTTCACTCCTTAAGAAAAATTCCCAGAAGTAGAATTATTAGGTTTTAACACATTAACATTTTTAAACTTTCCCAAATTGCCCTCAAGAAAGTTTGTACCCATTTATACCACCTCCAGCAATGTTTTGGAGGGCTATTTATTTCCCAAAGTCCCTTACCAACATAAGGCATTATCTTAAAAACAAAAAACACAAAAAGTCTTATTAAAATGGTAGGCAACAACCCAGAAGCACATTGTTATATAGTTGATATCTCTTTGGGTACTAGTGAAATAACATTTACTTATGTATATTTATTTTGTGAGTTTCTTATTTATGTGCTTTGCCTATTTTCCGTTACGGTACTAATCCTTTCCTTATTGACTGTAGTCAATCTTTATACATTGTGAATCTTAACTACCCTTTTTCATATATTTTGAAAAATTTTTCCCCAAATGTCATTTCCTTTTTAGTTTCAGTTAAAGGTCCTTCCCTATAGAATTTTTAATTTTTTTGTCAATCCAGGTAATCTCTTCTTTTATATAGAATAGAGTCTTCCTTTATCTTTATGCTTAAAAAGGCCTTCTTTTAGGTTTTTAAAAAAATTATTTCATTATAAATTTAATTCTGAACTATGTGGAATTAATTTTGCTGAATGGTACAAAGTAGAACTCTTATAGTTTTTCTCCTCTAATTTTTGCCAATTGTCTCAATACTTTTGATTGAATAATTCATCCTTTCTCCAGTGGAATGAAATACCACTTTTAAAAATCATATATTAAATTGTTATATGTACTTAAGTCCTCTTACAAGTTTTCAGTTATCTTTTATTATTTGTCTATTTTTGTTAATGTCAGTACCAAACTGTTTTAATTAATATAGCATTATAGTATGTTTTATTTTCCAACAGTGTAAATCTCTCCTCAATAGTACTCATATTATAAACGTTTGTACAATTCATAGTTGTTTATTTTTCCATATGAGCCTTAGAATACTAGTTAGCTCTTTTATGACATTATTCTTGATGAGAATGAATAGAAAATTCATGGTTAATGAAGGACAGTCAAGCACAACTACCCAGCACATGAAGTGCAACTATAAATAGCAACCTAATTCTACTGCTACCCTTCTATTGATTTGACAAACATTTACTGGGTGTCAAACACTATGCTAGGGAAGGTTCCTGCTCTTATGAACCTACTATCAATAAACAAGCGAACCTGTTGACAATAAGTAAATAAACAATAAATGTAAAATGATGAATTATTCTAGGTACAATGAGGGAAACCATTAGTGCAATGAATAACAGGGGTGGTGGTCAGGGAGACCTCTCCTAAGAGAAACGTCAAGGAAGGTCTTTCTAGGGCCGTGATATTTAAGCTGAAGTCTGAAGGATGAGTCAGCCAAACGAAGTGGAGAGAGAAGAGAGTTCCAGGCAAAGGGAAAAGACCTGGAGGTGGGAAAGAACTTGGTATACTCCAGGTACCAGAGAAAAGTCGATAATTGGGAGGGTAGCAGAAGACGAAGTTGGAGAGGTAGCAGGGGCCATTTTATGCAAGAGGTCAGAGTCTGTGGAAAGATGTTTGGATTTTATTCTGAGTGCAAAGAAAAGCGACTGGTGTGTTTTAAGCAAGGGAGTAGCATGATCTGACTTTGAATACTGAAACTGCAGTCTAAAGCTATGACGGAAGAATCCACACCACTCTAACCCTCTTGAGGCAAGAATTTTAGTCTCACTTTAAAGGAGACATAGCTGGCTCAGTCCTGGAAACTGCTGATAAGAGAATTGCTAAGAAGGAAGATAGAGGCTAAGATAAATAGAGACAGTAAAATATTATTACTATAGCATTATGGTCTTACAATAGGATTAATTCTGCTGTTAAAAACTTGACTTCGTTAGTTGCATCCATTTCTTACCAGCTCTAGTAACGCCCTTGTTGGCCAGTTGCAAGAGGCCCTTCTTTTTCAATATGAAGCTGGAGCCAATAAAAACACTGGAACTCATGGCCAGTACCAGACCTACATAAAGATTGTATTTGTTGTCTACATTTGCAGAAATGCTCAAGTTGGTTATGCTGGAATTCAGGTCCCTGAAGAGGAGAGGAGAAGCCAGCAGCTGTGACACATTTGTGATCTCACACCAAGCCTGGGAGGAGTTCGGACAGACCAGAGACAGCACGTAGCCTGGAAAAAGGAAAGAAAGAAATGTCAACAAATGAAAGGGAGATGCATTAACGTTTACTCCCTTTCTGCAAGAAATAGACAGTTGAGTGGATGGTACTGAAACACTGTTTTTGTGGAAGGAATGGAAGTCCCAGCAGGTGGTCCACAGGCCTGTGGCCAAGTTGAGTTTGGCTCACACAGGTTCTTAAAAATGTTTTAAAAATTGTTTAGTTGTCATCATTTAAAAGGAGAAATTTCTCATGTAAGTCTGGATTCCTCTTACAAATTTGAAAATCTGGCAATACTTGGTTCTTTGTTCCAGTGAAAGACCATCCTGCTGAAGCAGCGTATAGCTGTTTAGACCTGGCTTCTGCTCAACAACTCAACACAGTTCCCCCACATCCACTTCACTCCTTCATATTATCGGCCTGTCTCCTGGAAAGCAGTGTTTGTGATGTAGGGAAAGGGCACAGCAACTCCACTGGTCTAGAAATCACCACGCTACAGGAAACTGAGCTAACCTATTTGGTGGAGTATGAATTATGCATTTCAGAAAACATATTTAAAAGTGGGTTTAGTTTTCTATACCACTTTCCCTGAAAAGCATGATTTTTCAGGCCTATTAATTCACCTTCTCCTAAATAAAATGCAATCTAATAGAAAAATGAATTAAACATGAGTAGGCATTTTTTAGAATAGGATTCAAATGAGTATGTAAATCCACTGAACCAGACCCATTATTATAAGTACCTTGGAATTCTGAGGCAAAACTAAAGTACAAAATGAAAACATTTTACACTATATAAGAAACTTTGTATAATCTGTTCTCCACTCGAAAAGCTGTCAACAATGTGACGTTGTGACTAGATTTTCTGATCACCTCCTCAATTTTTTTTTTCCTTTTAAAAGGCATATTTTCCCATTATGAATTACCCTAAACAAAAAAGGGCAAAGAAAAATTAATCAAGTACCGTTTCAGAATTCAATGAAAAAAATCAGTTTTACGTCTCAAAAATCTTAAGAAGGTATAACAAAACAAAAACAAAACAAAACAAAACAACAGAAGACAGTTTGACCAAATGATATCTTAGCAACAAAACTTTAATAATTGGATCTATGCCTCCTTGGCAAAACATTATGAGGTCATCTGAATTTTAGCACATACAAACTTAAGAAACAACCATAAAGTTCAGGTCTAGAAAAGGTAAAATATTTGAATTCAAGCTTTTCATGATTATTATTTCATTTATCTCTGCAACTTGAAAATGAACCAGCTTTTCTGAGACAAAACTTCTAAATAGTCCAAGGAGAATTATATTACTTCAGGGAGTTTCTATAACATCAAGGAATTTTCAAACAAGTTAGCCCTTAGCAACCTTGTTCCGGGCACTGTTCATCTCACCTAAACCCCAAGAACGGAAAGTAATTTTTGATAGTAAGAATTTTGGCTACATTAATTCCTGAGAAAACATCTGACTTGACTTTCCAGTGAATTCCATGGCTGCATTAGCATCCCTTACTATGTAGTTAACATAACCATTCCAAAACTTTATCTCTGAAAACAGTGTGGGTAGATCTCATTCCAGTGAAACAATATTCTTTCTAAGCTGTTGACGTAGCAAAATGTTTCCAACATTTTAGGGGGTGTAGGGGCAGAGGGTGATAAGGGAGAGCAAGTAATCTTTTTGTAAGTTCTCATTGTACGCAGCAGACATTAATGCTGCAAGTTTTAAGGAAGGAAAAATAATAAAATCTTGTCTGGCTACTGACCTTAGAACTTAAAGTGTTTTATGGCTTGAGAGCATGCTAAGAAGACAGCCTACAGCAGATGTGACTGACGGAGAGAGTGACGGAGTAAGGAAGTGAATGGTGGGTTGGTGGGTGTGGAGTGGTGTAGAGCAGAAGGGGAGAGATGGGTGAAGCTGGATGTGTGGGCAGGGACTTTGGAATGTTTCCAAGGAATCAGAGAGATCTCAAAATCAGAGCTGGCTTCTTGAGATTTGAGCAAGCAAAGTAATTATCCAGGGAGTTTAACCCAGACTTTACTCAACATAGAAAGAGAAAATCTATTACATTCAGTATTTTTCATTTTAATAGACACTGGCACAGCCCTCTAAAGTGATTGTACCAATTTATACTCCTGCCAGTAGGAATCATGTACTACTTCTTTTATATTATTTATTTTCCTATATATCGAGTAATTAATACTTAGGAAATATGTGTCAACTTTAAAGAAAAATAATTCAGTACACACCAATGTATCAACCATCCAATTTAAGAAATAAAACATTGCCCCTCAGAGGTAACGACTATCCTGAATTTCTGCTTAACATTCTTTTGCTTTATTATTTCCTCTATATGATTATATCTTCAAATAATAAATTGTTTAGTTTTGCCTCTTTTTGCACATGTCAAAATGTCATCATACAGTACATATTCTTTGGTGACTTGCTTGTTTTGAGATTTATCAACGTAGATGCATGTGGCTGTAGAGTTTTTTTTTTCGCCCCACTGGTCTATAGAATTCCACTGTATGACTCTCTCACAATTAATTTTTCTATTTTATAGCTGGTGGACATTTGGGTAATTTACAGTGTTTTTGGTCTTACAAATAGCACTGCCAATGTTCTCAGTTATGCTGAACCATATGTAATTGATGATATTTGACAATTTCTGACCCTACAAAATAGCAGTTTCATATGGTTCAACTTAATATGTATCTTCTATGTTCAGGTGTGAAAGTTTACTTACATACACACCTTAAAAATCTTAAAACAAAGTTAAAATTTCTATTGGATGATATGCCTTTCCCCATCTTAAGCTCTGTTACTAACTATCTATAATCAGGAGCAAGCTGAATAATCACTCTTAGCTTCAGTTTCCTCATTTCTAAAATGAAGGAGTTTGACTCAATGATTCTGAAGATGCCATCTATAATTTTGTGGTTCCATCATAAGCTATCTTTGTTCCCAGAGTAATTTACTTACAATCCTGGTAGCTCATAAATGTTGCTGAGGGACTGGCTCTAAACTCACAGGCACTTGTAGTTGGAAGACATTTTAAAGAAACTGATGCCAAGATATTAAGTGACTTGCCAAAGTTATGTAACTTCCAAAACCAGAGCCAAGTAGTCCAATTCCCAGGCCATATTCTTTGTATTTCAGAAAAGTTGAAACATAAAGTACAAACAAACCCTGTTGAAAATTATTATTAATGTTTACACAAAGATGAAATGCTTTGAATAATTTTTTCAAGTATGATTTGCCTCCAGAAAATAATAATTTAAATTGTTCAGTTTGTTACATGGAGTAGAATATCTGGTTCCTAAGAAGTCAGTGATTGCATAAAACTACATTTTTAATCACTGCAAGATATTTCCAGTTTGCGGAAATCATTGTCTCACGATCTGCTCTATGTGTTAGTTTGGATTATCATTCAGCAGATATTCTTTCCCTTACCTCTCACGATGTGGACAGAGTATTCTTCCCCTGATGCTGGGCTGGAAGTGAATTGGTGGTCAACGGGACATCAGCAGAGGTGACACGTGGAGAGGCTCCAAATGCACTTATGTGTTTAGGTTTACTCTCTTGCATCTTTGTATTTGTCAGGAATAGAGCTTCCCTGAGGAGCTGCTGCCCTTTCAGTCTGGGCGCCAGAATAAAGACACATGGAGCAGATCTGAGCTCATCCCACAGAAAGGATCCAAACCCAGGTGAACCCATACTACGTCAGTCAATCATCAGCTGAACTACAGACATATAAGCAAGAATATGTGACCGTTGTTTTTAGCCATTGAGTTTTGGATTGTGTGTTATGTGGCAATAGTGGACTGATACACCTGCCTATTCATATTAGCAAAGGAAAGAATGAATGAAGTCTCTTCATGTTCAATTTAATCTCCAAATATCAGCCAGTGTGAACCAGATTATGTCACTCCCCTGATTAATCCACCCCCATGACTTTTCATTGCAATTATGTAAAAAATTATTAAAAAAAAATTTAAACTCCTAATCCTGGACTTTTTTAAAGCTTTACATGTATGACGCTTGCACACCTCTGACATTAAATTGCATTTCTCTCTCTCTCTCCCTCTCACTCATTCTCTGAAACAACACTAGTCGTCTTTTTACTTATTGAGTCAACAAATATTTTTTGAGTATCTGTTATCTGTCAGGCATTTTCTAGAAGCTGGGGATAGAACGATGAATAAAAGAAAATTCTTGCTCTCTTGTATTCATTGTAATGGGGGGAAATAAACCAGTGAACTAATAACTACATAATATATGGAGTGCTATGGAAAGCAGTAAAACCAGCATAAAGGGATACTTTTTAAAAAAACAGATTAAATGGAAAAACCCTGACGGGGGAATTTGCTTGAGGGGTGCAAGGAACTGCAACCAGTCAGGCTGGCTGGGGTGAGCAAAGGGAGATGGTATGAGATGAGGTCGAAGAGTATCAGGGGGCAAGATCAGGTCAAATGAGCCTTTAGATAAGTAGGTCCAATCTTGCCCTTTCTGCTTGCAAAATGCTACAGCGGCTTCCCTTCTCATTCAGAAAAAATCCGAAATCCCCACTGCAGTATACAGGGACCTACAGAATCCTGCCTCCAGCTATCTCCCTAACCTCGTTCCCTACTATTGTTTTTTTGTTTGTTTGTTTGTTTCTGTTCCTTTCATAGGCTAAGTTCCTTCTCACCTCAAAGCTTTAAGTAGCCCTTACTTAGTCTGAGTAGTGGCCACCATAGTAGCTCCTTCCAGTCACTGAGCTCTCACTTAAAATGTCACCTCCTTAGAAAGGTCTTATCGGCCTTCCCAATCTAAAGGAACTTCTCAGTCACTTTTCATCATATTGCCCTATTTAATACTGCCAATCAAACAAACTTCCTCTTATAGCTTAATTATGGCTTTATAACAGCATTTATATCCATATAGCTATTTCATTTATTCACTCAATAAAATAGTCGTTGAACACCTACCATGCAAAGCACTATGTTAGGTAGTCATTTGTTCAACACTTAGCAAACTCTTATTGAGCATTACCTGGGTGCCAGGCCCTGTTCTAAAAACTGGCAGGATAGTGACGGACAAGACAGGTAAACAGTTCTCTGTTCTCATGGAGCCAACGATTTTAGTGAGGAAACTAACAAACAAATAGGAATAAGGGGAGCAGAATAGGAATGAAAAATAAAGCAAATTTGGAGCAGAAAAAGAATGAGAAATAATTTTAAACAAATTTTGAAATCAAGTCATAGTAGACATATCTACACATAAACTGTGATAGGGTTGGGTAAGAAGCCCACTATTTCAATTAACCAAAATAAAATTCAAGAGATACTGTTGATTTTTTTTTTTCGATTTTTGTGTGTTTGTTTGTGAGGAAGACTGTCCCAGAGCTAACATCTGTGCCCATCTTTCTCTACTTTGTATATGGGACGCCGCCACAGCATGGCACGATGAGCGATGTGCAGGTTGGCGTCCAGGATCCAATCCCGGGAACCCTGGGCCGCCGAAGTGAAGCACACTGAACTTAATGGCTACGCCGAGGGGCCTGTCCCCTGTTGATTTTTTAAAAAGTTAAAAATCTGTATCTCTAAACACTATCTTCCCACTCTCAATGTGTTTAGAAGCCAAGTACTCTAGGAGGACTGTTAACCATCAGATCTCTCACATAAACCACTGCTGTTTTCACACTTTACAATCTGTATATTACTAAGTTACTAAATCATTAAAGATAAAATCCTATTGAAACTAAAAAAACGTTGAAAGAATGAAAATGCAGGAAAGGAACCTAAGGAATAATATGTCAATAAGCATGCATTTATATCAAGGTTTTTAAAAACAATCAAGTACAGTTCATATTAAATATTAGATAAATAATTAATATCATATTGTTTTCTGAACAACCTTTAGTGGAGAATTTTTATTACTTTTAAGTACTTTTGAATTTTGGCACTTAGGAAATCTATAGAAGGTTGGAAAAACAACTTGTGCTTTTAATCTTCTTTTAAAAATCTGGAGGAAATCTTTTTTAGTTCAGCATATAAGCAGCTATATTTTACACAGAACATGCAGCTTGTCCTGATAACAAAAGTTGTTTTCATTTGGTGGAATTTTGAGAAATGTTTATGATATGGATGTTTTTTAAGAGTAAAATCTCAGAATCATTAAAATGTATACCATTGCATCCAAGAAGCCAGAGAATGGGGAATGGGAACCTACAGGAAAAAAAAACAAAGGCCCAAATTGTTTTGTGCTTGGTTTCATCACTAATTATGAAACCTTATTCAATTCTCTGAGCCTTGGTTTCTATATCTGTAAAAAGGAGATAATGACCACCTAATAAAACTCATGGAATTTAATTATGTACTAGGATAAACATACATATTTATGTGAGCCTTTTGAAAATTTTAAGAATATTATATACATGAATATGGGACCTGTCCTAATCAGTACAAGAGACAGCCAGCCAGTTCTCAAAGAGTGCAGTTTCTCAATGTCCTCCTCTCAAAACCATGAAGACAGGCTTAAGCAGCTCTAAATACCACCTGTATCATTTTCACTCTGCTAGCTGGCTGCACCCTGGAAAAGTGACCCACACAGTCAAAGAAAACTTTGAAAACCACTGAATCCCTCTCTACCTCCAACTTACTTTCCCTACCGCCAAACCAGGTCAGAACTCTCAAGAAGATGCACCAGAATATACATGTTAGTCCTCCTTACAGCCCAGTCTTTCTGTCGTGTTTCGTTCCTAACCCTCTACAGTCCCCTGGCACATAATTTTCATGCAGTTGGTACTTCAGAGGTGGTGGGTATATTTCTTACATTCTATTTTCATGGTGTCATATTTTCATGTTAAGAAAGCTCTATTGGGTTTTGGACTCAAATTGAGATCTACAGAATATGTGACACAATATTAAAAACTTAAATGAGAAAAAAAACCCCTTCATATGTGTTTAAATTTTTTTGAGATAATTTTGGATTAGAAGCCTTTTGAAGCATCCACGGTTTTAAAAGTAAACCACCAAAGTATGGGGTTAACTTTTTCTTCATGCAAGTCCAATTGGAACGCTCTACCCTCGGGTCTCATGATAGACTCCTTGTCATTTGGGTCCCAGCTCATATGTCACTTTCTCTAAGGGGCCTTCCCTGAGCGCCCAATCCGAACATCCCAGTTCTCTCAATACATTATCCATGCACTCACCACTCTTGTAATGTCCTTGTTTATTCATTTGTTTCTTGCATGTTATCTGCCATCTAGACAGTAAGCTGCATGGGAGCAGGTACCTGGTCCTAGAGTCTAGGACCAGACTGTCTTGCAAATCCCTCTACACCAGCACTAGGCCAGTGCCTGGCACATGGGACTCTTGTTATTTGAATGAATAAATAAATGAAAAATTGAGCCTTTACTCCATGTCAGGCTCTGAACCATGTGCTTCATATGTAATCCCACCTCCATCTGTTCCTCACAACTATCAACTGTAGGAATTATTCCCAACTTATAGATGAAGAAAGACTCAAGGAGGCTAAATCATAGCTGAGAAGACTGAATGCCATGAAATCTGATGCCAAAGACTAAGCTATTCCCACCATGACTGATAAAGTGGATTCTGGGGCTGGCCCCTGGCATAGTGGTTAAGTTGGGCATGCTCCACTTCGGCAGTCCACCTGGCTGCCCGGATCCCAGGCACAGACCTACACCGCTCCTCAGCCATGCTGTGGCAGTGACCCACATACAAAAGAGAGGAAGACTGGCACAGAGGTTAGCTCAGGGCGAATCTTCCTCAACAACAACAAAAAGTGGATTCTGATTTCTCTTGTCTTCCCTACCAGTCTCCCACACAATTAATTACCCAATTAGTCACAGGTATTAAGGAGTGAGCTTGAATATTTTTTGTTTGAACTAAATGCAGGAGCAAAGCAGAGAAAATATCCGGAAGTTCAAATAAGTGGTGTAATTCACACATCCCCCTTACTTACAGATCCTTAGGTAAACAAGGGTGGATGGGTTAGTAACAGTCTGACTTCCTGGTTTAGGAATTACTTAGACAAAGGTCTAAGATAGACAACCTGACTAGGAAATAATTCTAGATCCAGCTGCCTTAGTAACCACTTCCAAAATCTCACCTTTTGAATAGTTTGTGAATTATACAAGCTTTTTCTTTCTTCGCGTGTCCTCTTCGCCACCCCCCCCCCATAGTTTTGACTAGTTCATTGTCTTTTTTTTTTCCTTAACTTTCCACATCAAGGAATAAGCTGGAAGAGCCAGAAGGAGAGAAAACCGGGGAAGTTGCCAGCAATTGGAAAAGTATAGTTCTTGCCACGCCTGTCACCGCCCCCTCCCTCTTTACGTCATTACCAGGTAAATTAGAAATCGACTTTTCCCTTGACACGGTGAAAACCGTCATTTCAATCCTGTCCGCACACCACTCCCGCACCTGCCCCCTGGTCCCTATTTTATCCCGGCTCACAAGCGCCTTTTGTTTTGAGACTGTAGAAACCCTGCCAGTGTTGTAACTTCCTGGCCGCACCCAGCGATTTTACAGGACTTGGGCGGGAACTGAAAATAGCCCAGCAAGTAGTGAGAAACCTACAAATGACTACGCCCAGTTCCCCCTCTCCTCTTCTGGCGCTTGTGACTGCACAGCGCGTCAGACGCGAGGCTAGTGGGGTGGGAGATGTTTTCATCTCCAAGGAAGAGGAGAGACGTGGGCGGCCCAGGGGGGTCCAGCGCGCTACCCCGGGGGCCAGGGCGCCTGACACTCCACGGTGTCTGAGCCTCGCGGAGCCAGAGCACGGCGCACACGAGACTCCCGCCTGGTCCCCGGGCACGCCCTCTGCCCACTGGGTGATGTCGACCGCGGACTCTGGATGTAAGTCTTGAGTCAGAGGAAACGTCTTTCTCAGACGAGACTTGGGACTCTGCCCACAGCACAGTGAATTTCCCGGTCACGATACTCAGCACCCTGTAATTTACGTGGGTCTGCCTTCCGGACCCGAGTGGGAGCCATATAGTATGTCTCGTTGGACTCAGGCTTTCCCACAGGGCCTGGCATATTGTAGGCACCAATAAATATTAGTCGACCGGCTGGCTGGCTGACTGAATAAATGCATGAACGAATGCATTAAGAGTCGGTGTATCACTTACTCTTCTCTACCAGTACCCGGGACCGCCCACCCGGTCTCATCTCCACCCAGATGCCAGGTCCCCCGGCTCCGGGCCGACACTCACCTTCTCGGCAGGGCTCTCCGGGCGGCAGCCTCACCTGGCCCCCCATGGCCCCCAGACGGGGCTTCCCCGGACCAGGCGCTCGCTCCTCACCCGCCTGGGCTTCTCCTCCTCCCCATGGCCCCGCGTTCGGGTGGAGCTGAGGAGTCTCGGACTGGCGCGCGCTGACCCCGCCCCCCAAGGGGGTGGCTGGGTGGGGCCTCCGCGCGAGCCACGCCCCCGAGGTCGGAGATTGGGTGCTGATTCGGAGTGCGCGGCTGGCCGCGGCAGCTGCGGGTCGCTTGTGTGGCTGGCGGGAGCGCCGCCTGCGCCTCCGGAGGGCCGCTGGAGCCGCGCAGCGGAGAAGCGCAGACACAGCCCGCAGGGTGACGGCGTCTCGCGTAGCGTGGAGGCCGCCGAGCCAACTCTCCGGGAATTTAGGGGAGTAAAGACTGTGCTGAGGCCCTGTTATGGCTCCTCCTGGGTCGACATGTTTCTGAATGCCCCTGGATTCAGCCCTGCATCGGGTGTTAGCGGCTTTGTACGGAAGTTGCTGGCTACCGGGATTCTTCTCTGATTACCCTGCTAAAGTTTATTCTGGGGGCTTTAGAACAGGCTTTGCCCGTCTGTGCTATTATCATCTTCTCTCGCGGTGCCCTGGCTTCAAACTCCCGCCCATTCCAACCCCCTTTTTCTAAGTCATGTAGTTATTTGCAATAAACTCTAAAGGAAAGGCAATGCTCAAACCGAAACGACTTATTCCTACAAAATAAAAATAGCTAACATTTATGATATTCTTGCTTTACCGTTATATATGTAGGCACTTTATATTTATTAACTCATTATATAGTTAATACCTGGTTAATAACTATAACTATAGTTATACCTAGTTTACAGATGAGGGATCAGAAGCAGAGTGAGGTTAAGCAACTCAACCAACTAGTCCGTGGAAGGCTTGGTAGCAGGTCATCATGCAACACGAAATGGGTACAATTCCTGCTAAAACCCTCACCACAGGAATGGGGTGCCTTTGTGCTCTGGGATTTCGGCACTGAAGAAAATACACTTGTCTGCTCACCTTACCTTTGCTACGTGGTCATGAACAGTGCTATTAACCTTGTTACATAAGAGTTTCATAGCAGAGACCTCAATCTTGCTTTTCTTGTTCTTGGGCTGGTGAGAGAAGAGTTAAGAGCAATCAGTTAACATCACAATACAAGTCACACACTTCCACATAGGGTTGGCTTAGTGGAGAAGGAATAGCGTGGGGAGGGGAATAGGTGAAAATTGGAAGGGAGGGAGATTTATGCCCAATTTAGATAACAAGCCTTCAAACTTAGATTTCTATTTCAACGTTTTGTTTGGATGGCAGACTTGAAAATTTTGCCTTTATCGAAGATTGGTGATGATAGTAAATGTTATCTAAAGTATTATTTATTACTTATTTAACTGACACTTATATAGCATTTATGTGGGCAAGCACTATTCTAAGCACTTTATAAATATTTGCTTTTGAAATCCTCATAATAGATAATATAGTTAATCCCCACTTTACAGATGAGGAAATGGAGGCAAGTAGAGATTAAGTAACTTGCCTACGGACACATAGCTAGTAAGTGGTGAAGCTGGGGTGCTAACTAAGGAAGTCTGGCTTCAGAATCTGTGCTCTTAACCCCTTCGCTAATTGGATATTTTAAAAAAACCTAGAGTCAGCCCTGATGGCCTAGCAGTTCAAGTTTCCAGCTCTGCACTTTGGCAGCCTGGGTTTGCTTCCCAGTTGTGGAACCACACCACCCGTCGGTCAGTTGCCATGCCTTGGCAGTGGCTCACATAAAAAAACTAGAAGGACTTACAACAAGGATATACAACTATGCTTGGGGGGCTTTGGGGAGAAATAAAATAAAAAAAACTCTAAAAATGTAACTTTGAGATGATTCTTTATAAAAATCGAGTTCCAGTTTCTTAGTAAGGTCTATTTTAGGTAGGAGGCACTTTGTTGTAATTCGTGTTTTTCAGTTCCAAAAATAAAGAGAAAAACACTCAGAAAAAAATATTTAAACTTAAGATCACTGTTTTCCCAGTTTAAATGTTGCCTAGCAGAACTTCATAGTAATGTATTTTCCTTAACTGCCTATTTCTAGATGACTTTGGATATTATGCAGTGACAGCACCATAGCCTGTCATAAGTGACATTAATTTTGGCGATTTTTATACCAACAAAAAGCATGGTGTTTAACCAAAAGAAGAACACTCAAAAATCTCCAACTAGCCCACTCCACAACTCTGGGAAAATTCCTTCTCTGACTCAAAACTTAGGATGTGATAACAAATAAGATCCTCTAAAATGTCAGCTCCTGTCTTATTGGTCTTTGCGTGAGGTCACCTAGACCCATTAGTGAGGGTCACAATAGGAACAATCAACAGAGCCTTAAGGGCTGGAGACACAAGGCCACAGGTTCTTTGAGCAGCACTGAGTCTGAGAGGGACCCTATTGTGAAGCTTTAATCCCTCAGTTGCTAGATTGTGGTGAGGTCTGAGGTTCCTGGGGCAGAGGATGGGGTGACTAGGCAGGAGGGATGGCAATTGGGGAGGGGGCTTGAGATATTTGCAGAGATGTTATAGTCCTGCCTAGCACTATACAAAGTCTACTGTTGAGAATTCGTGATTCCTTATTTTTTTCTCAATCATTCTAGCTAGGAGGTTATCAATTTTATTAGTTTTTCCAAGAACCAACTCTTACCTTTATTGATTTTCTTTACTGATTTTTAAAATTTCATTGACTTCTGCTACTATTTTTATGATTTCTTTCTTTCTACGTTGAGTTTAATTTGCTTTTTTTCTTCTATTTTCTAAGGTAGAAACATAGATCATTGATTTTAAACCATTATTTCTTCTAATACAAACATTTTTTTTTCAGCTTTTTTTTTTTTTTTTTTTGGTGAGGGAGATCAGCCCTGAGCTAACATCCGTGCTAATCCTCCTCTTTTTGCTGAGGAAGACCGGCTCTGAGCTAAGATCTATTGCCAATCTTCCTCCCTTTTTTTTTTTTTTTTCCTTCCCCAAAGCCCCAGTAGATAGTTGTATGTCATAGTTGCACATCCTTCTAGTTGCTGTATGTGAGACATGGCCTCAGCATGGCCAGAAAAGTGGTCCGTCGGTGCGTGCCCAGGATCCGAACCTGGGCCGCCAGTAGCGGAACGCGCGCACTTAACCTCTAAGCCATGGGGCTGGCCCTAATACAAACATTTAAAGCTAACATTTGCCTCCAAATACTGCTTTAGCTGCATTCCACAAATTTTGATATGTTGTATTTTTAATTATTATTTAGTTCAAAATATTTTAAAATGTTCCCTGTGATTTCTTCTTTGTCCCATGGGTTATTTAGGAAAGTGTTGCTTGATTTCCAAATATTTGGGGATTTTCCAGATATCTTTCTGTTATTGATTTTAAATTTAATTCTGTTTTGGACACAGAACATATTCTGTATAATAACAGTCCTTTGAATTTTATTGAGATTTGGTTTATGGCCCAGCATATGTACTACCTTGGTGAATGTGATTTGTGCCAGACACTGTGGAAAGAGTTTTATGTAGAGTACCTCTAATTATCATAACCTGATAAAAAGGATTCCTCCCATTATACTGATGGAAAAAACAGAGGCTTAGGGAAGTTAAAACTTAATAAGTTAGATTGATTATTTATTTATTTAGTTAGTTAGTTATTTTGCTGAGGAAGATTTGCCCGGAGCTAACATCTGTTACCAATCTTCCTCTATTTTGTACGTGAACTGCTGTCACAGCATGGCCACTGATAGACCAGTGGTGTAGGTCTGCGCCCGGGAACCAAACTCGGACTGCCAAAGTAGAGCATGCCAAACTTAACCACTAGGCCACTGGGGCTGGCCCAAGTTAGATTTATTTAGATAAAATAAATAAAATATTTTATTTTATTTTATTTTTGATGAAGAGTGGCCCTCAGCTAACATCTGTTGCCAATCTTCTTCTTCTCCTTTTTTTTCTCCCCAAAGCCCCAGTATAGTTGTGTATCATAGTTGTACATCCTTCTAGTTGCTCTATGTGGGACATCCCACAGCATGGCTTGATGAACGGTGCGTAGATCTGCTCCCAGGATCCGAAGCAGGGAACCCTGGACCGCTGAAGTGGAGTGCACGAACTTAACCTCTACACCACTGGGCTGGCCCTATAAATAAAATATTTTAAATTGCATAATCATTTATGAGGGGCCTGGTAATTTCAGTTATCACAGAATGATGGTAACTTGGTAGGTGCACAACTCCCAGGGGTAGGACTGTCACTCTGTAGGATCTAAAATTCTATTTTAGTTGTTCATTCAGTGGTCTGGTTTTACAGATTGGATACTCATGTTCTGTAATTAGTGAATTTTCTCCCTGTAAACAAATCTACCTGAGAAGCTAAATTATAATCAAAGGTGGTTTGATCATTAGCAGAAATCTAGCCGTATATCAAGCACCTCATTTGTGGAAGACAGTTTACCACATTAGATACATCATTTAACTAAGAAATTGAGAAATGATATACCTCACGCTAGGTCACACAGCTAGCAAGTGCAAGAACTGGGATTTGAACCAAAGTGTGTCTAATGTGCAAAGCTGACATTCCTGGCTGTTAAGCTAAACTTCCTGTCATAGTGGGTGATCTTATGGACACTCCCTAGCCCGGGGCCTAGCATGTGATACTATCCAATATTTTTTAACTGAATAAGAATAATAGCATTTTCTCAATCTTACACAATTTACATATTTTGGACTTGGACTTCGACTTCTCAAACAAAGAAGAGCTAATAGGTACTTAATAAGCATATATTAAATGACTATATTGATACATGTTAGCGATTTGGGGGAGGCAAATTGATAGAAATCATAGATCATCTCAGGAAAGAACACACTACATAAAATGACATTTAGTTATTATGGTTATAATAACTAAGGAGGAGACATCATTGACCACTCCGGCTGAAGCTCTTGGTGTGTTGGAAGACAGACTATCAAATATTTAATAATTTAGGACCAAGAGCCAAAATCCCTTGTATCACATAATTTTTGAAGTGAAAATACGAAAGAGTCAATGTCACGCAAATGAGCCTCTATAGTTAGAGGCAGTTTAAATAGGATTATA